TATATATATATATATATATATATATATATGTATATATATATATAGTACAACAACATTGCAATGGCATCTTTTAATGAGCAAGTAAAACCCTGTTAAATGAAACCCTATTTTTAATCTTGCAGAGAAAAATTTGCATTTTCTCACCTGTGAACAATTTCCAGATTCTGCTCCTAAAGCTGGCAGGTGCTGGATTGGTGTCAGAGTGCTAACAAAGTTAGTAACTGAGGCTGGGTTTCCTTACATGTCACAAAATGTAATGGAAGCAGGTAAGGTCACCTTAACACTAATGCATCTCCACGGTCGGCTCCCAGTAGCCATGGAGACCGGAATAAGCGCTAACACCTACAATAATGGAGCATTGAGAAGAGCCCCCAGGTAATGTCATGATGATATGGGTGAGGGCAAGGGGATTGGAAATGAGATAAGGCAACACCGAGCATCAAGTTAGTGGGAAGAGCCAAGTGAGATCATCTTCACCGCCTACTCTGAGTGAAAAGGTGATGTATAGAGTTCACTGAGTTCACTCAGGTTTGATGGACACCAGAATCATCACAAATATGAAATAATACACTTATTGTACAACCTTTTTCGAATTCTGTGGTTAAAGTGTAAACCAAAGAGAATTTAAGACTTTTGGCCTGGCTTGGTAGTGAAATGGTGCATTCAAGTCCTCCTGGGAAATTGGTATTGACGAGATGGGAAGTTGTAATTACGATGTCAGGCATGTTCAAATCACTTGGTCGGAGCAGTTCAGCAAGATTTTGTTCTACAAAACGATAAATAAAGAATGTGAATTAATCTGTTTTAGTTTTGTTATGTTTATATTCAATTTATAAAGGTTCTGTAAATTGAATTACTATATTATCTCGTAATTGTATAATACTGTTGTATTTTGTAGATGCAACTTAGTTTTATTGTAAATAAAATAAATCCACTAATTTAACATCAATATTAGTGGTCGACTGGTTGATCTGTTTTGCAATTGGCACCGATAGTCTATTGCTTCTGTTAATATTAGTTAAAGGGGTCATATGATGCTGCTAAAAAGAACATTATTTTGTGTATTTGCTGTAATGAAATGTGTTTATGCGGTTTAAGGTTAAAAAAACACATTATTTTCCACATACTGTACATTATTGTTTCTCCTCTATTCCCCGCCTTTCTGAAACGCGTCGATTTTTTACAAAGCTCATCGGTCTGAAAGCACCATATGACCCCTTTAATGAACTATGACTTTTATTATTTTACAAAGTATGGTTCAGTACAATTTTTTTTAAATGGTAAAGCACAGCTGTAGTTTTCATTCAGTATCCATTTTAAAAACTATCAGTTGATTAAACCGTATCGCCCAGTGTGGTCCAATCCAGCTATCAGTATCGGTAAAATTCACAATCGGTCTGAACCCAACTCAGAAACTCTTGAGCTTAAAGAAGTTTCCCACTTGTAATTATGGCTTTCCGGTGACGTTATTGCGATCTTTCTGACTTGACTTGAAAGCACACAAAAACAAGTCTGCAAGGGTTAAGTGGGGTGCTATGAAGAAATGTTGTATTCATTTGTGAGTAAGGATTTGTGGTCCAGATTGAGCCGGGATCTGGACCGCAGGATGCTAATTGTTGACCTCTGGTCTATACAGAAGATCAGAAAATGAATTTGCTGCAGTAACAGTAATGATATTCAAGTTACAGACCGCACCTATAAACAGAATCTACTCTATGTTGCATATTGCAATACTTTTCTTCCCATTTGAATGCATAAAAAATGGAAATAAAAAAACAGCAGAAGATGACTTAATTGATCTTACCCCGTTTAATGTGCTTGAGTTGCATCTCAGCCTCATCTCTCTCTGCAGTGAGTCTTTGGCACTAAAGAAGAGAACAGGTGATGCAATATTGAGAAAACTATATAAAGAGTAGTGACAAATTACACAGTTTGAGAGCATAGCAGTTGCTAAAACATAACTAAACTACTGTTTAAAAGTGTGAGGTTACTTAGCAAGGTTTTTTCCCAAATAAATTAATACTTTTATTTAGCAAGGATGCATTAAATTGATAAAAAAAAGTGACATTAAAGACTTTTATAATGTTACACAAGATTCCTATTTTAAATAAATGCTGTTCTTTTGAACTTTCTATTCAACAAAGAATCTTGAACTGTTTTCATTCAAAAAATTGACATTCAAAAGCATGAAAAAAACTTTTGAACAGAATACATGTACTGAAAATAACATAGGATTACATATAACACAATAATATTTCTTATTCACATTATTCAACCTCCAAATAATCATAGTGGTTTTCTTCGAAGTAATGAGGTTCCCCTGCCTGAAGCAGATGTAGATGTGAGGGTATGTATGCGTTTACGCTTATGTTTTTGCAAGTTTATTCTGGTTATCAGTCTGTAATTATGGATCGTCTTCTGGCCTAAAATTAATACGCTTGTCTTATTCCCTACACTGTAAAAATGAAAATATACTTTCATGTTTTCTCAGATGTTGACAGTGATGCAATCCTCTGGAGAACCTCTAGACACCTTTCAGAAAAGGTCAGTTCTCTGAGGAACTAACAAAACCAATTATTCTTTCTCCTTTATGTAAATGCAAAACACATGCAAAGGTTGCATTGCATTGGAACTATTAATATGAATGAAACCACAAAAGAAATATGAATATGCGTGAAACCACAATAGGTGGATTTAAGAGGTGTGACATTAACAACCACAAATCATGTGTGCCAAAGTAAACTGATGGGGAAAAAAATACTAATAATGTAAGGTCATCATCTGCATGATCTGCTTAAACTCTTACGAGACATACAAAAAGATGCTCAGACACTGTCACACGAAAAGGGTGGGAACCCTCGAATGAATAAAAAGCCGGTTAACTCAAAAATCTCCGATTTCCCCTTTTCTCACTACTCTGAGATTAATTTATGCTCAAGAATAGATAATGTTATAATAATTAGATGTGAAGGCCGTACAGATTTATTCTTTCGTGCATACATCATCTCTCACCTCGGGGCTCTCCTCCCGAGCCTCTCCCTCTTCATCTCCACCGGCCTCCATCTCATTCACTGCACAAATCAGCAGAATTACTCACACAAAAATGCATTAAACATTTAAACAATCATCTCACATGCTGCTTTCCTCAGTAAAATCGTTGCCATTCAAAACGAGCCAACCCTATTGTTATATTTAAAATGTTCAGTACCACAGCCGGTAGACAGCGGCGTCGCATCCATCTCCCTCCTCAGTCAGTGTACCACCCCGCTGTCTACTATGGCGAAGCCTGACTCATGAATATTAAGATACTCGAGTGACGTTTGCCCAATCGACCTACTTGATTTGTTGAACGGCGGCCGGAACGGCTGCTGAATATTAATGTTTGTCACGTGACAGGAGGCTTTGCCGCTAAGCTCCTCCTCCTCCTCAAGTGGGGGGGGGAGCCATGTAGTAAAACCATGGCTAATTTTCTTAAGGGATGTGTTCCCAGGTTAAGAAAAACAGTAAAAATAATAAATAAGTAAAATGTACACCTTAAGTGGACACATACAGGCTAAATAGGCTATAGAGGTAGGTCTATAGGAGTTTTGACTGCTTTAGGAATAATAGAGATAGTTTCCACTTGTCTAGATCAACTTTCAATAAAGGGAAAAGGGACAGATTTTTGTTTACGTGTGAAATTTAGCTGTTGGGGCAGGTTTTGCATAATCAAATTGTGTAGGCTACTTATTGTCTGGTGAATATGCTAACATAAAAAGGCTCTCTTTATGAATTATAACTTAAGTATGTTAGTTACCATAGCTATACATAAAGACTTTAGCTGATATGAAACTGTGGTCAAAAGTCTATTATATAGCCTAAACGCGAAAATGTTGGGGTAGTTGGATGGGGAGAAGGGGGTGTTTTCTGCTGTTATGTCCAATGTCAAAATCAAACCTTCGCCCTAGCATCAAACATTAAACAACATATAGGCTATTTAAAGCAAAAAGGGGAATTATTAATAAGATGAGACTGAATAAACATCACATTTTACTCCTTTCTATATGGAAATAGGAATTACAAAAACAAAAGTTTCAAAAGTAAAACACCCAGAAACATTATCATCAAAATTTTCACTACCTGTTAGCACTCATTCCCATTTTTCTGGATCTCTTTTCTTGAAAACCGTCTCAATAGTGCCCTCTACTGTCACCTCAATGAGGTCTTTTGTCACCCTTCTTGTCCCAATAGAAATCATAATTTAAAGGTCCCATATTGTCAAAACTGAAATTTCCTGGCTTTTTTTCATGATAACTGAGGTCTAGGGGCTATTTAACTACCATATAAGTTTCAAAACGGTCAGTCCACAGTAAAGTAAAGTAAAGTAAAGTAGCTGTGATTTTTCACGAACCGTTGTGACTTCCGTAAAAAGTTGCCTATCTAGTCATGATGAAGATGTATATACATTTCAATTTCGGCAGGAAAGTATTTTTACAGCTACATTATTTTTCCAGCCACAATTAATCACAACAATGTATATACAATTACAAATGATTTTATATAAATTGTCAGTTTGTTGTTTTACACACATGCACACAGACATTATTTCATATACGACATAGTCGTGGGATGCAAGAAACGTATGGCAAGAAATCTGTAGACGCGCCCATAACAACAAAAGACAATACTTTATTGAACCTTTTCTGATAAGAAGTGTGCGCCTCTCCTCTTCCAATATCTGAACTACAACATTGCATCAGTAACCCCAGCTCTTTTACATAGGAATATCTCAGCTATTTACTATAATCTTGAATTTATAATCTTGAACTATAATCTTGTTTCTTATTCACAACCGAAGTGTCTATTATCCTCCATTTCTTCCCTCATCATCTTACCTCTCCATTTGAACCTGAATTTACTGCTTGACAATATGTGTTATACATAATAAAAGGAAAAATAAAAATATTAAGTTAACTTGCTTTATATTTTACATTTTCGAAGCTTCATCCAAAGTTAATATTTCTTAAAAACATATGAAATCAAATTAAAATTGAGGTAGGCCAAGCACTCAGTTCCATATGTAACAGCAGCTCAGCCTCTGTCCACCGAGGGGTCCTTGGCCCATAGACTGAGGGCCCCTGCTATGTAAACACAAAACCTTCTGGTGAAACAAGCTCAATTTCATGTATAACAGCTTCTTGCTACAACATGTCATGGGAGATATTTGAAGGTTACTGCGGTTTGTTACTACCACAGCAACACAAGAATGCAAGTTAACACTACCACCCACTAGCAGTGCATTGGTGAAGCATTCACGTTTGCATAATTTTGTACAGTATGTTTTCATTTTTAGTCTCCGTTCTCTTTCATGTGGTCCTCATTTCAACAGCTTTCACCACTTCTGTATAAGACACATTATATTTAGCTCATTCTTGTTGTACTTACACTACACTCTTTCTGATTTCATAACCCACATGTGCAATACTATTTGCTTCAATGCAGTTACAACACTTTTTACAACCCAGCACCCTCTACACATTTATCATAGTCATGCTTCACAGCATGCATTTTTTTGTCCTCTGACATTTTCTGACATTTCTAACATAACAAAAGAGTTAGCACAAATAAAATAAAATATAGTAAAAAAAAAATAAATAATAAAAGCATACAGAATCTATTCCTTCTGCATCTATTCCCTCCACTCACAATTCTTTTTAGTTCCTTTACTGATGACTCTGTTCCTATTCTAGATCTTGCTGCAACCCACTACAACCTTTTTATACAATATTTTAAATCTCATCATTATGCAAGCCAATAAAGATTTACTTTGGTAAATCGTAATTATGAAATTAAAGTCAAAATTAAGGTATATTATTAAATCATAATTATGAGATTTAAAAAAATGTTTTTTTTAGACATAGAAAATTAAATTATGACACGAGTTATAATTGTGAGTTTTTATCTCATTGTTTTGACTTTTTATGTCATGTTTTTTTTTTCAGAATTTTGGCTTTTCATCTTAGAATTTTGACTTAGTATCTCATAATTTCAATTTATCTCTTAATTATGATGTTTCATTTTATAATTATGATTTATCAAGCATTTTTTTTCTTATGTGGTGGAAATGGGCCTCCATACACATTGTATCTCTACTCAAAAGTGTTGCATAGGTGCTTACCCAGTAGCACCACCTAGTTTCATAACCTAGTCCTAACAGTATTAGTGTGTAACACAATATTCCGCAAGATAAACTGTCCTGAAGGCACAGCAGACAGCACTCATTAGGAATTATCTTATATAACATAATATAATTCAGACATTGAATTGCAAATGTCTAAAAAGTTTACATGTGCATTGTGCACTGTAAAAAAAAATCCGTAAAATTTACAGTAAAAAACCGGCAGCTGTGGTTGCCGGAATTTTACCGCAAAAAAATACGGTAGCAACGTTTTAGGTTTTACGGTTTTAACTTAAATTTACAGTTAAATACCGTATTTTCATTAACTGATATAATGTTAATATACCAACTTATTGAAGTACTGAAATCTGTTTTGCACCTTTGTAATACACTGATAAGCACCAAATGCAGGTGGTGATGAGAAAATCACATGATGAACCAAAGCCCATCACAAGCAGCTTTTAAATAATAACATATATAGAAGGTGCACAGTGTCATTCACACAAACACCAAACACCATCATGGTGACACACATGAAACTGAAATAATGCAATAAACATTCATTTAACAACATTAGGTGTAACACACAACCCTAATATACAAAACTGATAAGAAAAAACTAAGAAGAAACATAGTTATTTCAACAAAAAAACATCAAATTTGAAATATAATGCAGGGACTTCTGGGAATGTCAATTTACGGTTATTCACTGTAAATTATACGGTATTTTTCACTTCCAAAAACGGTATACTACCGTAAAATTAATGCCCAATACATGTCATGTCCAATACAGGTTTTCACCGTATATAGTAGGGGAATTTACCGTTTCAAAAACCATTTAACAGGTTTTTACTGTAGCATTTTTACAGTCTTTTACCGTTAAATTCACAGTCATTTTTTACAGTGTACAGTTGCTCTATAATGGGCTCAGGTATGAACTTACCACAGGGAAGTTTGTTTGGAACAAAATTTTGTTTTAGAGTTTCGGGGAATGAAAACAGACTAGATTGTGTGATAACCGCATAATGTACACACAAACTTCATTTCAAAGAGTTAAGTTAGAGCTTTGCTTTCAAGAAGATTGGGTATTTTAACTGATTTTAGATTTCAGCTTGACTGTCTGTGATTTGACTGTTTGGGCTATTTTTCACCTGTTATTATCTATATGACATGCTTATGTTTATCTTGAATGTTGTAACAATGGTCATTGAAGGGCTGTTGCATGAACTGTGGTCCTGAAGCTTTAGCATGTTTGTCATTGGCGAGTCTGCTGTGCTTCTGTCAATAGCAGCTCTTTGGTAACGTCACTGCATGTATGGTTTATTGACAGGAGTATGTTCCTATAGTTCCTGTAGCTCAGCTCTAGTTCCTGCAGCAGGCAAGACATTGTCAATGTCATGGGTTTAATGGCAAGTATCAATGTCAGTGTTATTGTAGGGTAGTGTGAATGCATCATAAGTTCAATAAAAGTGTCTGCCAGATGTGCTACATACATATAAATGTAGCATTTCAGTAATGACTAATATTATTTAGAGTTGTGTTTTTAAGACTATGAAAATGCAGGTTTTAAATTTATCCTTCCGCGGATGACTCAGCTGTACACGTTGCAGTTTTGCAGTCGTGTTTTCAATAGTGTCATTCATAAAGTCAGAGCTATGTTCTCCATCAGCAACACCAGTGGATAAAGTTCCAGAAGATGCCGCATCTCAATCAACATTGCATTGAAATGACTTTAAACAAAAAAAGTTGCTTTGTTAAATTAGAGGTGCACAGTTATGAGACTTTGATGTGACTTGGTTTTAATAAGTACTATTTTTATAAGCATAATTATTACATACAATGTATCGTTGACAGTGTTTAGTAAATGCTGTTTCATGTGCCACAGCCCAGTAACCCTGTAAACATCATATGATGCATGAGATGAGACTTTTCACCATCTGACACTGAATCACATTGTATGACTTTGCTTGTTTCCTATATATTAGCTGATTATTTGAACTTAGATTGTTATTTATGAACTTTTGGTATCATCTGTTGAAAACACTAACACTTATCTAATAGTGAGCAATAACAGCAGTTAACAGCCCCTTTTTATTTGCTTGATGACATA